GATTCAGATGTAGTTGTATGAGCAGGTGTTGTTGATTCAGGTGCAGATGTTGGTGTTGTTGATTCATATATTGATTCAGTGGTTGGTGAGTGAGATGTAGATGTTGTAGCTGATGTAGGTGTTGGTGCAGGGGTTGTTGCTGTTAAAGCTGAAGATGTTGGCGTAGATGTTGGTGCAGGGATTATTGTTGATTCAGATGTAGATGTTTGAGCAGGTGTTGTTGATTGAGGTGCAGATGTTGGTGTTGTTGATTCAGTGGTTGGTGAGTGAGATGTAGATGTTGCTGTAGCTGATGTAGATGTTGGTGCAGGGATTATTGTTGATTCAGATGTAGATGTTTGAGCAGGTGTTGTTGATTGAGGTGCAGATGTTGGTGTTGTTGATTCAGTGGTTGGTGAGTGAGATGTAGATGTTGCTGTAGCTGATGTAGATGTTGGTGCAGGGATTATTGTTGATTCAGATGTAGATGTTTGAGCAGGTGTTGTTGATTGAGGTGCAGATGTTGGTGTTGTTGATTCAGTGGTTGGTGAGTGAGATGTAGATGTTGCTGTAGCTGATGTAGATGTTTGTGCAGGGTTTGTTGTTGTTGATGGAACTGTAGATGTTTCTGTAGTTGATGTAGATGTTGGTTCAGTAGTTTTTGTTGATTCAGATGTAGATGTTTGAGCAGGTGTTGTTGATTGAGGTGTAGATGTTGTTGATTCAGATGTTAGTTCAGTGGTCGGTGAGTGAGATGTAGATGTTTCCGTAGTTGATGTAGATGTTGGTTCAGTGGATGTTGTTGATTCAGATCTAGATGTTTGAGCAGGTGTTATTGGTTGAGGTGTATATCTTGGTGTTGTTGATTCATATGTTGATTCAGTAGTTGGTGAGTGAGATGTAGATGTTGTTGTAGCTGATGTAGATGTCGGTGCAAGGGTTGTTGTTGATGGAACTGTAGATGTCTCTGTAGTTGATGTAGATGTTGATTCAGTGGTTGTTGTGGATTCAGATGTAGATGTTTGAGCAGGTGTTATTGGTTTAGGTGTAGATGTTGGTGTTGTTGATTCAGATGTTGGTGAGTGAGATGTAAGTGTTGTTGTTGCTGATGTTGATGTTGGTTCAGTGGTTGTTGTTGATTCAGATGTAGATGTTTGAGCAGGTGTTATTGGTTTAGGTGTAGATGTTGGTGTTGTTGATTCAGATGTTGGTGAGTGAGATGTAAGTGTTGTTGTTGCTGATGTTGATGTTGGTTCAGTGGTTGTTGTTGATTCAGATGTAGATGTTTGAGCAGGTGTTATTGGTTTAGGTGTAGATGTTGGTGTTGTTGATTCAGATGTTGGTGAGTGAGATGTAAGTGTTGTTGTTGCTGATGTTGATGTTGGTTCAGTGGTTGTTGTTGATTCAGATGTAGATGTTTCAGAAGGTGTTGTTGACTTAGGTGTAGATGGTGGTGGTATTGATTCAGTGGTTGGTGAGTGAGATGTAGATGTCGTTGTAAATGATTTAGATGTTGGTGCACGGGTTGTTGTTGTTGTTGATGATGATGGAACTGTAAATGTTTCTGTGGTTGATGTAGATGTTAGTTCAGTGGTTGTTGTGGATTCAGATGTAGATGTTTGAGCAGGTGTTATTGGTTTAGGTGTAGATGTTGGTGTTGTTGATTCAGATGTTGATTCTGTGGTTGGTGAGTGAGATGTAGATGTTGTTGTAACTGATGTAGATGTTGGTGCAGGGGTTGTTGTTGTTGATGGAACTGTAGATATTTCTGTAGTTGATGTAGATGTTGGTTCAGTGATTGTTGTTGATTCAGATGTAGATGTTTCAGAAGGTGTTGTTGACTTAGGTGTAGATGTTGGTGGTATTGATTCAGTGATTGGTGAGTGAGATGTAGATGTCGTTGTAACTGATGTAGATGTTGGTGCAGGGGTTGTTGTTGATTCAGATGTAGTTGTTTGAGCAGGTGTTATTGGTTGAGGTGTAGATGTTGTTGATTCAGATGTTGATTCAGTGGTTTGTGAGTGAGATGTAGATTGTGTTGTTTCAGATATGGACGTTTCTGTAGTCGATGCTGAAGCAGG